CCAATTAATAATAATAATGGATTGCATTTATATAGTGCCTTTCGGGGCTCTTAAAAAGTAAATCTCTACTAAATAATTTGGAGACAACGTCTGCCACACAGCTTGCAGTGAAACAGTCAGGCCACATGTCAATCAGTGATATCACAGCAGGCACTTGCTCCTAAGAAAGATAAAGTACCTACACCGGCCTGATTAAGAAGGGGTGTGGCCAAAGGTGCGGCGTGCCTAAATGTTTCATACAGAGGTCATGTTATTGCGTTTAATGAGGATTATAAAGAAATTGCTTGTGGCACCCACTGTGTGTGCAGCTGCCAAGCCAAGACTTCATTACACACCAGAAAAAACGTTTTCCATCGATGCTTTGTTTGAGGTTGTGAGTACAAGTAAGCAGTAGATCATTAATAACATGTGGAAGTAATTCAGATGGATTTGGACCTAAGCGTATGTCTGTTTACACAAGTCAGCTGCAAGCCAATTCTTATTTGTGATGACAACATCATTCTACATAATCTTGGCATACACAAAATCAGGGTTTTGGGGGGGGGGTTGCCTCTCTCTTAATTGGCCATGATATTCTGTCAATCACAGGATAATGCCTTCCTATAGGCTGATAATCTTTGCTCTCCTGCCCTTCTAAGGATAGTGGGGAGAAGTGCAATGAGCCAGTCAGGGTTTATGCATACAACTGTGCAAGCTGAGGTTACCGAAAGTGCATTGGGGTTCTGCTGCTTGCTCTGTTTGAGGCCTTAACGAAGGACTCAAGAGATGAGAGCAGCATTTTTGTCGGTGTGTATGCGAACGCATGCACGTGGACGCATTTTTCTGTGCAAGCGCATGTGTGTGTGCGCACTAGCGTAGGATCAGTGAAGTAAATCCACACTTGAAAGAGTAGCTCAATCAAGCTCTTCCACCAATCTCCCCCCGCCTCCCTTCCTTCTGCCTCTCAACTTGCCTTCGTTCCCCTGCTCCCAGTTCATTTAGAGTTGAAGAGTTCACAGGACTAAGGAGTGAAAGAGCAACACACGGGGCAAAGATGAAGAACTACCATGAGCAATGCAGCAGCCACTGGCTAAATGACAGATAAAATGTAAATACATCATACAAACCCACAAATGAGCCAAATGATTTTACAAGGCATGCTTTTTAAGCCCTTAAAAAAAAGAAAATTACATGAGAAATAAGCTCATATTGTTTCTGTTAAATGCACTTATTTAGCCTAGGGAAAAAAGTTTCATTTTGAATAATTAAACTAAATCATTACTGTTAAACAAGCTTCTACAAACTATTTTCTTACTAAAAAAATAAATAGTATGAGCGTGACTGAGTTTAGTTGGCTAAGCAAGTGGGAGGAGAGGATTTTCCCTGCCAGACATCCTGGCTTTTAATCCCAATTCAGTCAATTGTGAGATTATTTAGGAGCAAAATTATTATTATTTTTATAAAGCCTTTAACTTCAATTTAAGGCCAGATTTGAAGAACCTTTGGTTATCCCGCATCCTCCCCTCTTTGCTTCCTTTCTGCAGCAGGGACCTCGTCAATGACAAGTAAAGCCTTTTCCTTGGAAGGGAATAAAAAGCATGACCTCATTTTGTGTCCTGTGCGATGTAATAAAGGCGATTTTACGCTTCCAAACGTAGAGGAGATGCCCTTCATTAGAACTGTGCATACTCAGCGTGTCCATACTTTAATCCAATTTAGTTTAGCATGATAAAGGGCATTACAGCCACCCAGTCCCACACATACTCACGACACGTATGCATTCAGATGCAGGAAATAACAGAAGAAAAGAAAAGAAAGAAATGCAGAGCCCTTAAGAATTATTGGGTAGATAATGCACTACCCCAGTATTTAGGAACATCAGACAATTATATTGAACCCAGGGGCCAGTCAGAGTCCTCTGTGGTAAGTAAAATCTATAACAAAGTCAAACTTGGTTTATTTCTTGCGTCAATATAAAGTAGAGTATTAACTAAAAATATGTCTTAGCCGAACAAGTTTTAGCATTTTTCAATAGATATGAATGTGAGGAAAATGTGCTTCCCTTATTTCATTATATTCCAAAGCAAAAACAGGACACATGGATCCTGAGAAATCAGAACATTTATATGCAAATTTGATAGGTTCAGAAAAAACACTATCTATCTAATGTCTAACTAATGGAAATAACTTTTCATTATGGTTAAATGAACAGAGATGCTTTGCCTGAAGGAAAAATAGCCTTTGGCGAACTGCATCTGGTCATTAATTAGATCCATAAAACTCTTATTCAAATTAAGAGAGAAACTTTATGAGCAAAGAGATTTCATTAGTGTCTCAAAAGAGCAAGAAGCTTTCTTGTGTTTGAGAAATAAAAGAACACCTCTTTACCCCACTCAGTGGTTCAGGTACCAAATTAACAGACTGTGTTTAATGTACTTGTAAGGGTGCAAAATGCACAGAGATTTCTAGGAAAGTGATAAAGTTTTCTTTCATGGCACTTGATTTGGATTAGTTTTAACATTGAGCAGCTGCCATTATCTTAAAAGGTGTTGCTGTGTCGTGTTGACACGTGTGCCAGTGACTCATTCTACTTATAATAATGCAGCTTCCAGATATGGAATATCATCTTCAACTGTGCATATAAAAGTCTTTCAATATCCTCTGTACATAATTACAAGTCCCCAAACTAAAGTCAGGAAATGAGAACCGGTTCCAAATTGTCCAATCCATCAGAGTAGGATGTTCCCTGGGTTACTTTTTTCTTTTTATTGATGCCAACGTGTTTTTCTGACTGTTGAGTCTTGCAAAAACAATGTTGTGAAACTCATGAATCTACTTTGTTGGAAACTTCTAACAAAAAGGAGTCAAGATGAAAAGGAGGAAACGGTGCAAAGCATGGCTTCATTTGAGAGAAAAAAGGATAGCAGTGCTAGTTTTAATGGCTTTAAAATTATCATTTCAAGTACGGGTGGAAACACCAGCAATATGCCGAAACATCTGTCTACACAACTTGGGCTTAAAACAGGAATCCATTAGACACTATTGCTTCTCAGCTAGGCAGCACACATGTTAAAAGGGTAAATACTGCATGGTATATCCGTGCAACACAGGCGAGCTTAGCGTTTTTTTTCCTCTTTGACTTCAAACAACATTTTTTTTTCCCTCGCTGCATCCATTTTAAGTTTTGACTGACTGTTGCTACAATAAAATAAGGGAATTCAACCAATAAGGGTAAAAAAAAAAATCAATTAAGTGTGGTATCAGTGAAGTCATATCAGTTCCCCGAGGAGCTGTGAAACACTTCAGTATTCAAAACAGTCGGCGCCTAAACAAATGACAAGTAAGCCGAATACAGACAAGAAATATTCCGGCAAGATGGCACGAATTAAAGCGCCTTCCACACTGTCTCAAAAAGGCCTTATACCGCTTTGACAGACAGGTTAGAAACATCACAGAAGACAGGAGATGCATGATGCCGCTTCCTGTGGCAGACGTGAAGCTCTAAACTGGTCTAAACGAAAAGATGCCGTTCACGGCCCTTGAATGATGCAATGACAAGGATTTGTTTTAACTCTTTACACTATAAAACAACATTTTACACCCTCCCCCGTGATGAGTTTTGACACCTCAGTATATATCAATAAAAATGTGGTTTGACGACCATTAGGATGGTTTCCAGGTCTTTTCAAGCATAGCTGCATAGGCGGAGATTACCCTCACTAACTTCTGATGCACACCCAGTCATTTTGTTCTATAAGCAGACCAGAAATATGAGAGAACGCACTCAGAAAGGAGCTTCAAGGGGTAAAGAGGTAAACCCCATTTGTTTTAACAATTACTTTCCTGATGTGGCAGACCCAATAAAATAACTAATAACCCTGAGCTGACACATGTAAACATTTGAATTAAAATATAGCAATTTATAGTCTACGCTTGTTTTTCGTAATACAACACCAGGATTCAGAGAGCCTTTCCCATGAGAATTTCTGTATAAAGTTTCAAACACGTTGGTCTTAGAGCTAAATAGGTGACTTCAACTTAACTCTTGGGATTCAGGTTTCCATTTTATAAGTCTGAAGTGAAGTTTGTTCAGCTATTTTTTGATAAATTTATTAACATACTGGTGTGCATCTGAATATCCCCGTAATCCTATAACCCCTATTTTGATGTGTTCAGATCAAATTTTTTCCCACTATTGAACTCATTTCCACAAATGTTGACTTTCTTGGGGTATCGAATGCATCATAACTCTGACACTCAAACATTACATGCTTGTAATTGTAACACAGTTACAACTGGGACAAACGCTGTCCTTGTTGTGTATGTTCCTCCCCGGGCGAAAGAATCTAAATGTGAAGCACACATGTAGGAATAATTATGCATTAGCACGATAGAATGCATGAAGGACAGCGGCTTAACAAGGTTACAAATGCAAGTAACACTTTGTTTAACCTTGTAGGGCTGATATTGGTTGGCCCCATTTCCACAGACCTCCAACCCTGTGCATTGCCACCTGGTGGTAAACCTGTGCCTTCAGCTGCCCTGCCCACCTGGTCACCACAGCTAAAAGCAAAAATATGCATTGCATGCCAAAAGCACTACCAGCAGCTATCACCAGTGGCACCATGTAAGAGGAAGTCTTGGCAGAGGGGAAGCGGAGATGAAATGTGGCAGTCACAGGAGGTGTGTACAGCTAGCTATGTTTTTCCACTCCGCTGGAGGTACAGCCAACCTGTTCTCCTCAACTATATATGGAAGTAAACAGGATGCTAACAGCGGGATAGAGGTAGTATGCCATATGTAGGTCGGTAATCTTGTTGTTTTGACCAAAAGCTTCTCATAGGACCATAAATTTAGAGTCAATATAAGTCATTCATCTTCTGGGAAACTCAAATGGAGAACATTAAATCTCTCATTAAACCACAAGCTGCTACCATTGCATCCATCCATACATCCATCCGACCGGCAAGAGGCTGAGTACAAAATGTGTACGTATAAGCTTGTGGACAGTATGTACTTACTGCAGGTACAAGGAGCTTCTTGACCTCCTCCACTGCTCTCCTCATCTTGATCTCTGCTCTAGCCTGTGTGTCTTCCACTGTGATGAGGACATGAAGGTCTTCATTTAGGTGTTCCCAGTTTGGCTTCCCTCTGTTCTGCTCCTCCTGGACAGAGAAATAGGAAGAGCGAGAGAGACGGTGAGTGAATGTGACAGTGTGGGTGTGTTAGAGTACCAGTGCAGTAACACGGCATATCAGAGAAAGTGGAGGCGAGAGGCAGGCATACACAGAGGACGACGGGGCCCTGTGAAGAGAGGCGGGATGACAGGGCCGGCCCTTTAGTCAGCTATTTAGCTTTAACTTTGAAAGGACACCCTTCTTTAATAGATCCCTCGCTTCGCAGAGACAAAGATGACAGCTAGCCCTGCAGCAATTAATATCAGTGAAAGATGGATGGATCAGAGAGAGATGGATGGGGATTTTTTTTTTTTTTTTTTAAACCGCAGCAACTTCACTTGTTGGAATAAAATTATAACACATAGCTAGGGCTCAGAGTATGTGAAAGTACATGAGTGTGCATCTGCCTCTGACACTTTTTGACATACACTGTAAGGGCAACAAAGGTTCGATGAAGGAGTCGTTTTCCTTCCTACAAAGGCAGCAGCACAGCACTCTCAGGGTCCCAAACTGTAGCAATAGCAGCACCTAAAAGGAAAAAATGGGTTGTATTCAAAACCAGCCATCACTGCTAGATAGCCTTTCAACACAGTTTAATAGGAAGCAGGCTCAAAATTGAAATTTGGCAGACTGACGTTTGGAGAAGCTTTATGTTTTCAGTTGCCTCCATGAAAAGCCCAGTCATACCCAAGTCGTGTGAAAAAGGTAAAATGGGATATATGTACAGACAAAAAAATCCTACATTTGCAGCAAAAAAATAAAAAATAAAAAATGGGATCAATTTTCAATTTAGCATAGCTACTTTCCTCCCTCTTCTTGTTGCCCGGCTGACAGTAAATCTAGCGAGCAGACACTGAGAGCGCTCTAAAAAGCTTTTGAGGTTGGATCGCATGTCAGCGTACAACCATGAAAGCCAGTGGTTTGAAAGCAGACTACTTCCCCTTGAGGTGAGGAGTTGAGGTCTAGGTTGTCTGAAAAAGATACAACCTCAGATTTTGATGTGTGACACCACATTATAGCACCAAAAAGGGAAAAAAGGGATAATAATGCTCAAATGTTTCAGTTCGTGAAGACAAAACGTGTAAAGTGAAAATGAATCTGACTGCATTGTAAAATCAGAAATGTTTTTCCAAAGGAGGTCAGAGTCTCGAGCAGTCAGCTGCATACTCTCCTGCTGTTGTTCATAAATACTGTATCGTTTACTCCTGCCCATACAAACCACCTCAACTCCAGATCACGGCTCATTTCTGAGTAGTGAGCGAACTGCTGCAAGGATGTCTAATTACAAACAATGCATTGCAGTGCTCTGCATGGGGTCCACCTGACATGATTTCAATATACTCAACGAGCACCTCAAAGTGAGGTGGCGCATGCACGCACACACGCACGCACGCACAGTACTAAGAGCTTGAGCTGAGTGCCACCCACCTGCTTTCTACTCCACAGAGAGCTGTTGCCATGGCACTGCTCTTTACAACACACAGACACACACACGTGCACACACACAAGAAAGTTCAATATTCCACTCTCGTTTTCCCCTTTTCCACACATGGGTGTGGGTGGGAGGGTTGTTGGGGGGCTAGATTTCAGCAGTCAGGCCATTATTTCTCCATGGCTGTTTGCTTATGGCCTATTAGGGGACATGGGGACTGGAACGTGACTCAGCACTTTCTGGAGGGGACAAGACAGAAAGGCCACAAGGGCTGCCACTGTATGCAGTACACAGTATGAAAACACATCGCTGACACATAAAAGTATTTACACTGACAGACTCCTGCTCAAGTTGGAACCAAAAAAAGATTTGTCGGTCACATGCTCGTGCGCATATGTGTGCAAAGTGTGACCACCAAAGCTCGGACAGATTCAGATTTGGTAAGAATTTTATTCAAATATATCTGGAGGGGGGAGGGGGGGGGATGCGTACACCCACACATCTCACACCAGCATGACTGCCTGAGAACAAGGTCACTGTGTGCCTCTGAGAGAATGTGACAGCATGACAAACAGGAGGAAGGCTGGAGGGGGAGGTAAGAGGAGACCTACCAGGAATATTGGGAAGGCCTTTGAAGACAATGTCCACGCTGGCCAACATCAAATGCCACAGCAATAGCCACGTACCGGAGGGCAATGGATTTTGGCAATGCACGTAGCATGAAAAAATAGCATGGGGATTGCATCTATAAACACCATCTAAGAACAGGATCAAGGGGAAAGGCTGCTAGTCAGTTATGTTGCCCAACTTCCAACGTCTGTGCAGCACCTGTTAGCCCATTGCATTTCACACCTCTCAGAAAACTTAAGGTCTCAATTCTCACCACATGTTAAAAGGTTACAAAAATACAGCACTGATATTTTTGACGATCCCTTTTTTGGTTGTCCTAAAAATCGTGATTCAGCGTAGGCTTTTTAAACTTATTTCATGATCCGAGTAGTCACTTTTTACAGTCAGGTACACTCAAAAGGATCTTTGGCCATGCGGCGCCACGATTTTATTGTTATTTTGTTGGTATTTGACAGTCTAGCTACTGTTTCAACTCTGCCTTTGCTACTCTGAACGGCCCATTTGCCTTTGATCCTAAAGGATTTCCCAACTAAGGTCAGAACAACTGAGGCTGAATGCAAGCAGGCCAAACAGGTGCAGCAGAGAGCTGCAAGGACATGGAAGGACAAGAGAAGATAAGCAACGCTGGAGAAGAACAGTAAGCACTGAGGGGAATAGATATAACTACATATTAAATGAAAATGAGGCAGATTACAGAATAAACACAGAAAACCAACATATCCACCCCCAAAATGTAGATGACAGTGGTTAAAAAAACTCAACTTATCAATAAACAAGATCAGAAATGACAGACTGAACATGACATTACTAAACAGGTCACCTTTAAATCTTTGTGGATAAAGGACATAGCCAGCTATCACAGACAAACAAAGACATGAATTACTGGGTAATACGGCAAGTGTAGCTGCACCCTCTGCTCAATGCCAATCACATTAAGGGTGCTCAAAATAGACCAAAAACAGCCCGCAACACAACTCCGTTACAAATAAGGCTTTTCAGATTGCAGTGAGTACAAATCATTCTCTCGGCCATCAATACCATATGGATGTTGATTTCATTTTAAAGTCAAAGTGACTTTGTGCAACACTTTATGTCCATTAGGTATTCGGTTTCAGTCAGTGTATTGCAAACCAGGCCTCAAGTGACCCTACAGGCTCTAAGCAATGGGACATATTGTTTTTAGGGTGTATTTTATCCATTAGCTACAACAACTAAACTAATGTTACTAAACTATTGTTAACAGTTGGTCATTACAGTGATTAAGTAAAACATAAAAACAGCTTGAAAGAGTTAGAGCTATAAATATAAAATGAGAGAAAAGAAGCAGGCAGATATTTTGACTCGACATTGTTTCCCTTAAGTTGTTCAGCTTAAGGTAAACATTGCTAATAACCAGCCATTAATATTAACTAATTAAGGTAGACTAAATTATTCACTGCTTTCTCTCTCCATGCACCAGCATCTGTGCACTGAAAGCATGAATCCGTGATACCTGCATGTATACTCTGCTATTCTCACAGTGTGCCCTTTTGCGGTTGGATGGTGCCAAGTTAACCGAGGCACAGCCCCGATGTCTACCAGCTTTTCTGGTGTGTAATCAGCCTGGCAGCCTGTGCTTCTTCCACAATCAAATATTAATGTTCACAAATGAAATTGGATTTTATATATAATTTAGAAATGTACAACACTAAATAACTGCCTTAGTCCTTTTCTATGACAGTCACCTTTTAACCTCCTAAAGCCATTTGCAGAGGAAAAACTCCAAGGCAACTAAAGTAACACCTGGACTTTAAAGACTTAAGTACAAAGAAGCTATTGTGGCTCTATCGAAGTGCATCCAAAGATGAGCTAAAAAAATAAATTAAAATGTAAACAAAACAAGTAGGTCTGCTGCAGAGCCAGCAGGCTAATGGAATTCAGTGTATTGACTGCCAATGTCACATATTAACTCTTAAGCAATAAATGCAGGAGCTGTAGTGTGACTCTGTCTATGGGCTGGCACAAGCTGATGGCTCAAATTGGAGTCCGATTCTATTCCATCAGTGACCGTGCTGATAGCACAGTTTTAGCCATTATGTTTTGGGACAATCAGCAAAAAAAACAAATCAAAGCAAATTCACTTGATAGAGAACATTTTTCAAGTGCAAGTCTGAAAGGACATTTAGTGCGACTCTAAATAAAACAGCCATCTACGTAATTTCACCATGTAGCAGCCAAAATAGAATTAGGGAATAGGTTTTGCAAAAGGGAAGGAAAATCCCTTTTCTGCCTGTGCAGCGGTCGATACAGTGTACCTGTAATTTAATTGCAGTTGTTCTTGCTGCTGTTTTGCATTAAGCGCGACTGCGGGAGTGGAAAACAGAGACCAAAGCTGCCACGTCAGGTGAAAATCTGATTGGAATATGGCTGCAAAGAGAGTCCTTTTTAGCTGTCAGAAAAATAATTACTCAAATGTGTCAGAAAATCTTTCATCTTTCCAACCATACTTCTCTATTCAGAGATGTTGCAAAAATCTACGTGTACCAGTCACTCTTATAGAGACCTCACAAGTTATTTTCATGTGTTAGACTCCCCTGTCTCACCCTACGCTGGATTTCAGATGCCTGCACATACACACAGACATTTGTAGTAAGTTCACTATTTTCATATTCTGTATTTGCCTACCATGCCAAACCATAAATGATAAATATACTTCTGCTGGGCTCTGTCCATTATGGCTGCTAACATCATTTTAGCGTCAACACTACGGTGTGCAGGCCTGCAATCGTTACATCACAGGCCGTGCTGCAACTCATTTGACAAAGAGTGTGTCATTACAGAAATATTGTGCCTCAGTCCTGAGGAAATGTCGATGGTGACTCGGTCAGAGGCACAAAACAGATTTTTCTCTAGTGTCTTTTTTTTTATTTTCGTTAAAAAAAAAATTAACATTTAAGAAAGAACGGTTTGCACTCGATTATTTACTCAGGGGCAAGAAATTCAGCTGTTCTAGGGAAAATTCATAAAAATCACTTGATTTTTCCATCTTGTCCAACATGTTTCAATTTCTACTTCAGATATTCTAGTCTAAATAACCCAATACTGCACCATTAGACAAAAGACATTTGTTAACTATGCTTAAATACTTTGCTTGGAAAGCAAATACTACAGCAAACAAAAGAAGACTGCAATGCAAAGTAAATTTATGTCAGGCAGCCTAAAACAAAACATGATATGTGTTGTTACATAAATATACAACAAATAATTATAATCTGGTGTGATTAGATGTTCAGGATTACAAAAATCTCCATCACTCGTCATCCATCCGTCTACCCTATTTTTCTCTTCACCTGCTTCTTTCCCTCTTATTTTATTTTCTGCTTTTCTTCTCTCACTATTGTTCTTTACTTTTCTTTCCCATTCCATAGCTCCAGTGAACTGACTCCCTGTCAGGCAGTGCGACCCAAGAGGGAGTAACCAGCTGAATTATTGAGAGCATAAAAATGCTGCTGCTAATGGATCCTGAATAAACACACTGGCTAAGCTGCTGCCGTGGCATCCTCTTCTGCCACGGGGCATCAAGCTGAAAATACTGAGGTTGAGAATGCAGTGACTGGGAGCTCCTCACGCAGCTTTATTTGCAGCTGAGCCACAGCCATGAGACGCTTCAAAGCTTTTGGGGTCCTGTAAACAAATCTCATAGTATCTATTATGATTTATGGATCCAGAAACAGTCACATTATTAGGCGTTTTCCTCATTACGCACTGTAACGCAACATTAATGGTGAAAAAAAACAACATTAGTGGAGTGTTGAGTGATTAATGTAATTAAATCTTCAGTTATAATTTTGTTTAAAAAAAGACATTCGAGATAGGGATTTATTGTGCTGCAATCAATTTTGGTGTTCTGGTTTTGTCTCTTTTTATGAGTCCAGCAAATGCTTTTTCCTCAACAAAGGTGAGACTATATCAGCAAACTCCAGAAGTGGAGACTAGTGAGCTCAACTTCCATTAAAACAATCCTGTAACCCTACCATTTAATTTCTTTTCCATTCACTTATTTGTTGTTCAGTTTAATTAAATTTAAAGTTCAAGGAAATCCACAGTTAAACATTTTTAAATTCCACAAATGTATAATGTTTTTAGTCTCGATAAGTACTCCTCTTAAATAATGATTTTTTTGTAGTCCTACATGGGTGTATGTTAAAATCAAAGCACAATACTAGGGGAAAAAAGAGAGAAAAGAAATTTAAAAAAAAAATAATAATTATAATGGATTTGGGGGAGGAAACAAAACCTTTTCCTCATTTACTCAGATTTTCCATATATACACAGTATTCAGGACCATTTATGAAGCATTTTGAACATGAGATCATTTAATTTCTAAATATCAAGTGGAGAAATGATCTTGCTTGCTTAAGTGTGTAATATTTGCCTTGACAGGTCCCATCACAGCATCACACACACACAAAACAAACTGGCACACGTCATTAACTTTTAACACAGTAAGAAATAAGGGAGGCAATCATGGATTCACGTAATGAGCTAAAACAAAAGGATGTGTGGGCTGGTACATGTGTGAGCATGGTCGGTCCCATTAAACAACTTCGGGATCTAATTCCAAAGAAGACGCCGCAGCTGAGCATCTCCATCTTGTTCTGTGATAATGAACTTACTCAAATGGAAATGAGAAGGAAAGATAGAAATTAAAATACAAATGAAAGAAGCCATAAAAAAGAGAAAAAAAGAAAGAAAGTGGAGCAAAAACACTGGGCCAGCAGCAAACTGGATCCTCTAACATATGACTCAGCTGGAATCTGTATGATCTATTGGACTATTTTGTAACTGTTGGACTTTTTTGTTTTTATGTAGGAGAAAGGTAAGTATTTGGACATGGACAAAAGACATTTCTGTAACTGTTAAATTACAGCTGCTTTCATCACACTGTGTCAATGTACTAGTCACTTTTTTAAGTACACCTGTATAACTGCTTGTTAAGCCAAATATCTAACCAGCCAATCACATGGCAGCAGCTCAAAATATTTAGTTGGGTCAAGACAACATGGTGAAGTTCAAAGTGAACACCAGAATGGGGAAGAAAGGTGATTTAAGTGACTTTGAAACTGGAATGTTTGTTGTTGTCAAGACAGGCTGGTGTGAGTATTTCAGAAACTGTTGATCTACTGTTGATCTGTGGGATTTCCCCACATAGCAATCTCTAGTGTTTACAGAAATTGCTCAGAAAAAGACAAAATACAAAGTGAGAGGCAGTTCTCTGGGTAAAAGTGCCTTGTTACTGAAGCAAAAGCGGGCTTGATTTGGTACTAGCAAGGTGTACCTAAAGAGTCACCGATATGATGATGAGCAATTGGGAACACAAAGAAAAGGAACATTTAAAAATTTAATTAATTTAGTTAATTAAATACAGTCAAAAGCAGCCTTTATAGGAGGCTTTGAGGCAGCTGGGCAAAATTTGCACAGTTAATTGAAACAACACATCTTAAAACTGTCAATTTGTCCTTATATTAACTTCCACACAATTCCCTCAGGGATTAATAAACTATTCTTATTTTAAGTGCATCACTAAACCTGATCTGACAGACTTGAAATCTTCCTTCAGGGTGCATTTTTGTTGCTGTTGTCTTGTTGTCAGCCATACTTTGGGATTGTGTTATGATAGGATATGATAGCAAACTTGGCGTCTGACTTTGACCGGGTCTGAGATTTTTAGGACACACACCTTTGGTATATCAATTTGAAAATCCTACGTCGACTCGTTGGAGTAATCGTGTCCATGTCACTCGCACAGAGAGACAAAATCAATACTCCAGGCCTTTTATGACTGTGATGTTTCACATCATTTCATTTTATTTACCTAAAGAGCACAGTTTGTAAATAAAATAATGCAAAAGGTGTCATTGTTTTGCATAACTTCATTCCTTTGTGGATATGCAGAGACCTTATATGTCTCCAAAGTCAGCTCGGTATATCCAGAAATAGTGGCTGCTCCTGGTCTTGGCCGACTGGTTTACTACTGGCTTCAATACTTTCCACTGCGCAGCGTTTTGCAAACAGCACTATCAGATATCAGGATGCAGCCACTGGGCATTAGCTAAGCGCGTGTCTGCTTCATGTTTCTTCAAGACCAGTGGGAAGCTTTTTGTGTGACCACTGGCCCAGAAACTTTCGCAATATTGTGTGAAAATTAAAAAATATGAGTTTTCCTCTTGTATATACCAGGCACACTGCCACTGATGATCTTACCTTCTTTTTGTCTCTCATGGAGCTTTTTCCTCGCACCATGATTTTGCATCCTGTTTCTGCTTCCAACTGTTTGGCTGTGAGTCCCCGCGGGCCAAGGATTCTCCCCACAAAGTTATACTGCAGATAGAGAGAGAGAAAACCTTGTGAGTCTATATACAGACACATAAAAGACAGAAAAAATTTACATTTTATTTACCTCAGAAAAACCCTTCATAAGCAATAAGCAGTTTCCATGAGCTTTCAAAAAGCATGACCTCAGCTTTGTTGGATATCACGCCTCTGCTACAAAGACTACACGCACAGCCAAAACTACCCTCTTTCAGCCTTTCAGGAGCCATTTTCACACCTGCACTACAGCACTGAACTTTTCTCGACAACAACACTGGAGGATTTGTGTCTGAGAACACAAATATCCATATCAGTCTGACAGGATATTAAATTGACCCCACCCTGCCAGTTCCCTATGCAGTGTAATGTCCACTTCACGTAAGCGAGTACGCGTGCAGGTGCCGTCCATCATGTGTTTTCTGTGATCTACCAGGCCATGCTTAACCCCAAAATAGATTTTTTCCCCTTGTCTGACACAAACAATCTGCTGTCTGCTAAATGTAGGAAAGGAAAAGTTGGTAACCAGCAGACACAGTTCCTCTTTGTAGTTTTTTTTTCCCCACCTATTTGACTGGAAACTGTGCTAAAATAGCTGCTGGTTGTATTTTTTGTCCCTTCACCACAATGAGAGCACAATCACAGACGACAGTAAGGTTGGCTTGCCCCAATAGATGTCAAAATGATCTCAAACAAAAAATAAAATATTAACTACACAGGGTGTAGTCTGGGTGGGCATGGTGGAAAAGGAACAAGGGAAATTGAGGTGGAAAGTGTGCTAGGGTTTGTGAAGTATGGCAGTGTGTTTTGACACAATTTTATTATCATGGCCCCCCTTTCACTGGTGAGTGGCTGTGGAGCTTTGTACCACAAGGAAACAAATTTGCCAACATAATCCTCTTGACACGAAACTGGTTTCCAACAGGATAAAGAGAAAACATGTTGGAATAATCCAAATCAATTTTCAGCCAGAACAAAAACAGAGGGTAAGGAGGAGCACAGTGATGTATAAAAAGGTAAACAAACCACCCAGGTTTCAATAACGTATGCAACGGCTGGTGGAGAGCATGCCAGGTAAGAGATGCCCCCTCCCCCCTTCTTTTTCTACCTGAAAATGCTCACTGCCATAGCGGAAAGCTTTCCTTGACAATCAGAAGCACAACTATTCGTCTCTTGGGCTGTCGCAATGAGCTGTGACACCACAGCATTAAATTCTTAAAACGCAGTCACATCTGCTTACGCACGCCACCGCACCAGTGCCTCTGCAAAATCCAAAAGGCTATCAGAGGAGTCACATTTAATTACAGAGGGATTACAAATTTAATGTGATGTTGCCAGTATTTCCCCTAAACAACATAAATGCTACTGAGGACAATCGAAAACTCCGGGCCTTTTGTTTTTCTAGTCCCTGTCGGTGGGTTTTGCCTGCATCCCTGGCCTGTCTCTAACAGGAAAGATACACCCTGTGACTGGAGTCTCCCACAGACGATCCTGGCGTGCTGCTACACAGGCTGCAAGCGTGCTTTTCTCTGTCACAAGGCAACTGTCTGTTTGGTTAACTCGAATGCAGGAAACTGGCACAGGGGCTACATTTGTGTGTGTGCGTGTGCCAGCTGAAGGATGTAAGGACACCTGTCCTCGGAGGTCAGCCACCAACGAGGTATGGTGGCCTGCTTCTGACTTGTACGTAAACACACACATGCATGCACAGCCTCGAGAAGCACAGAAGAGAGAGCTGTCTGTCTGCATCACAGCTCCCGCTGCAGACGAGGGTGAACCCTGAATACTGTGGTACTCCTACACATACCACACAAACACACCGTTTCTAACCCACTAAACTCAAGCTACAGTGATGTGTGTTACACTCTGCTAACAACAGTGGTGACATATTTGAAAAATGCTTGCTATCAAATTAGCAAATACAAGGTTAAAGAGAAAGAAAAAAATCTAAAGGTATACGTAGATTTCTGTACAGATATGACATGTGACAGCTCCCATTGGCCTTAAAACCTACAATATAACCCATCAGTCCCAAAACTGACAGATTTAGTCATTGTGAATATATTAAATACATATAGTAGATGAATTACACAGCAAGCTTGAATCATCGGATTATAGAAGGGGGTAGGAGAATATCTGATTAAAACTCTGAGGTGGCAACTAGTCGAACCACTCGCCTTTTTACAGCAGAGGTGTACAATGTGAACATGATTATGCTGTGTTTGTCGGAGAGCAGTGATACGAAGGAGGAAAGCAGGAAGAAATAAAGAAAGGAAAAAGTTAGAGATGATGCCACATCTTGTTTTACCACTACTTGGGAAATGATTATGAGTAAGAAAGGCCAGCACCGGCACATTCTCGCATTTTTCACACTGTGCAGGTAGACAAGCTAACTACTCAACTCCATCTGACGGGTCCTTGCAGATAAAAGAAGTGTGCGGACTGTTATGGCCCCAGGCCCTCTTGCGATGGTGCTGTCTCTATTGTGTTGCAGGGGTTCCTGTGTACAGCTGAGTAAGACTGGTGGAAAAGCAGAAAACCCAGCGAGCACTCTGCACAGCTATTTAAACGCCACGTGCCTCGTCTGGCTTTGTCTCACATGTCCATATATTGCTTGCACACTTCACATTTCTTCCTGCAAGTTTCAAAAATATATATATTTGTTAAGCTGGCAGTACACCTCAGTTTTTTGCGTGACTACGCGATCATTTCAACAAAGCAGCCACTCATCATAGTTAAACTTGAAATTTGATTTGAAATGTAACACTGCTGTAAAGAGTGAAGCCACATTTACTCAGTAATAGAATAAAGCTCAGCATTTTAATTGTAGTGGATGGCTCGCTTTGCTCCCTGGTCTGCAGTGAGGGTTTGACACTCTTTTCATGGATGTTGATATGCTTTTACAAAAAAGCGACCTCCATTTTCAGCCACTGGAATGTAGAGACAATGAACAGCCAAGCGGGTGAGTTATCAGAAGGGTACAGGGCCATCGACTCTGCCAGGAACTACACTCAGTACAGCCAGACAGGGGAGAAGGACGGATACCGTGCCCTGACTGCCAAATGCACTATCCAGTCTTCACCCGGGCCTGCTAAACTATCAAGCTAGCTTTCATTTTCTGTCTTCCTGCTGTTAAATCAACTCTGTGCTTCTGCAGACTTAAAAAACATCTGGGAGCCATCATTTTTCTTGTCTGGACTTCCAGAGCTTTATTATTGATTATTGTCAACAGATCTATGATTTTCCTCACTAAAAAGAAAAAGGAGGGGGGTTTGGGCTCGATTATTTACAGTAGTAGAAAATTGCAATGGAACCCTTAGAGGACAAAGTCTTCTCTTCAGTTCTTGAGTTCAGTGTCACGTTATCTGAGTTTTCTCAAAGTTTCCCCCCCCCCCCCAAAAAAAACCCCAAACAACAAAATACAAATACAAACATATACAGTATTCACACATAGCTCATGTGTAAACACAAAGACATACAGATGCGCACACATTCATACTCACAAAGCCCCCTCCAGGACAAAAGCTTACACTGACATTAAAGGGCCTTTGTTTAGTCCCAGTTATCGCTACTCCACAGGCGGGTTATGGTGTGTGCATCTACGTCTCTGTCACTGTGTGTTTGTGAGCGTGTGTGACACAATGTATGGGGTGAACTCTTGCAGACACCCTCGGCATACAGAGCTGCACGGGTTTATGTGTACGGGCATTCTGGTTTTGTGTGAACTACTGAGAAAAAACAGCAGTTCCACCAACAATGCTCACAGAAGCAGAACAATTGTGCCTTTGACGGCGTTTGTTTGTGGTGGTGGGGAGACAGGAAATGAGATCATGCTGAGGGTTCTGACTGTGTGCGTGGAAGGCTTATCGAAGAGCCGGGCCAGGCTAGGAGCAGAATACCAATCACTTATTAACCAGCCTTGCTGGGCTTATGGAAATGAGGAATAGTTCATTCAGTGCAATGCATCATGGAAAGGAGGAACCTGGTTACACCAGGCACCATCATCTCTCCCCATCTTTTCACTTACTTTATTCTAAACCTCCCTCAAAGTCTGAAAGCATTATTGCGAAACAATGATACCCACCATTTATTGCAAAAGTCCCATTTCCTCCAACCCAAGATACATTTTGTCTCATTTCTCCAACGTAACAGTTTATGGAGGCTTTACAGAGGTTACCAGCCTGCTTAGTTGGTAAAATGCATCCCTTTTGTTTCCATATCCTCCCTTCTGTATCCATTCATAGCTTCTGGAAACTCTGCGGGCTTCCTTTTCCTCTTTGTCCAAGTAAACAGGACCTTGGCGTTTCCTTTGCTTATCTGTGACCCCCACCCGTGTAGTGGACAGGTCTTTCATTTAATCACAGACAACCTCCCTGCTTTTAGTCACTCATTTATCTTTATCTCTAGTGTTGCGTCACTGAAATAATCCATCATATTTACCTTCACACTAGTGCCTGATCCCTACCCCTGCCAATAAACACTATAGAAGGAATATGAAATGGAGCAGACGGGTGTATAAACTACTGAAACCTGCATACCTGATGTTCGGGAGGGACAGGGGACACAAGGCCATAGGCTGATGAAGGAGTGAAAATTAGACTTAGATTCCAGTGGTGACATTTACGCCTCAAAGCCCTACAGACTTCAAAGCTCTCTATTCAGTACACCCAGCATTTAGTGCCTAATCCATAGCTCCTTTGATAATTCTGTTTGGGTTTATTTCGGGGTTGCAGGCAGGGTGGAAATACAGACGAGTGAGGACGGAGAGATGGAAAGCATAAAGACTGATATTGGCTCAAAGTTTGGAAGATGTGAGTAAAGAAAGCAGGGAGCAAAGTTTGTAACCCTTTAGATAAACAAGAAGCTGGGATAAAAAATAAACAAGTAGAAACATGCTCAGTTACATTCAGCCTCACCCCTATGGTTAAACGTTGCATAATCACAGTGAATCAATAGAAGACTGAGAAAGATGTGGATTACTGTTATTCGTGTGATGCTAGCTTTCTCAGGAA